CATGATAGATGGAAAAAAATATTGAAATTGTTAACTATTTCATTTTACTTGGACCCACAGTCAACGCTCGTGGTAGCCGCAGTCAGGAAATCAAAAGATGCGTTACACTGGGGAAATCGGCTGTCAGGACCTCCAGGAGGTCTTCTAAAGAGCCAGCAGGTTGGTCTAAAGGCCAAGATGTGCCAGGTCCATTTGCTTTTCCATGGTTTTCATTTGCTTCCTGTGCACCTGGAAGTTGGACAATGAATAAGGATAACAGAAAAAGAAACGATGTCTTTGAATTATGGTGTTGGCAAAGAGTACTGACTGTTCCATGGACTGTGCAAAGTGTCTTGAAGGCAGTACACCCAGAGTGTCCCTCACGAACAAGGATGGACACTGCGTCTCATTTACTGTCAGCATATTTTCAGGAGGATCCAGTCCTTGGAGAAAGAAATCATGCTGGGAAATGTAAGATGTCAGTGAAAGAGAGGAAGACCCTCAATGAGACAGACTGACAGGGTCACTCCCACCAGGGGCCCGAGGGGGGAGACGGTGAGGGTGGTGCGGTGTAGAAGGTTCAGATCGGGTGTTCACAGGGTTGCCGTGAGTCACAGTTGACTTGATGGTACCTCACAACACTGTCCTCGCTGACCCAGTGGGTTTCGGAGGCTGTGAATCACACTAGAAGAGACTGGCCATCTTTGTGCCTGGGACCTGCCGGGGAGGTACCACGTTGGGGTGAGCAGTGTGACTATACTGACCACAGCACCAGAGTCCCCCTCTTTGTAATTAACTGACTGTAATTCTCCCATCCCCCCTTTATCCCGCTGTGTCCAGTCGATTCTGACCCACAGTTTCTGAGGGAGAAGACTGCCCATCTTTCTCCCGCAGAGCACCTGTGCTGACTTCTAACAGCCAGCCTTTCAGTTAGAATCTCACCGTATAATACACTATGCCACAAGGGCTCTTTAATTCTTCTTAGTATTTGGACTGTTTAAGAAGCAAATATGGCTTCTTGTGTTTCTGTAGTTACTGTGGCTTTTGCGTGATAGTGGACACTTCCTTTTCCATCACCATCAAGTCAGTTCCATCTCACAGCCTGCAGGACAGAGGACGGCTGCCTGGGGGGTGTGGAAGCAACGGACAAGGTGGAGACGGCTGAGCCCAAGCTCTCTTAACTCCAAAAGGGGGACCTCTCCCCACCAACAGCATCCACAGCATAAAACTGGTCCCCCTTAGGTTGGACGTGTCTCCTCCACCCCCACTCCTCTGATCCTGCATCTACTTCTGCGCATCCCTGACTCGTCGCTGCCAGTGAGTCACAGACGCGACTTCACTCACAGCTGTGGAGTTTATTAAGGAAATAGGTTAAGGAGTGAGGTAGGGAAAGATATCACACGGTGAAGGTCAAGCTTTAGAGAACAGCAGTCCAAAGCCAAGTTATCAGCAAGACACTGTTCCTCAGTTAGTTCAGACAGCTTCTCAGTCAACAAGTGAAAGTCCAGACTGAGTCCAGCGGCACAAATGAAGAAGCAGCTGGTTTCCTCAGTCCAGCGAGCTCTGTCTCACAGCGGTCACAGGTCAGTTCAACTCCACGGTACACAAAAGCAGTCATTACAAGAACAGATTAGTAGAGATTTTCCCACAAAATTGATGGGTTCAAACCCCCACCCTCTTGATTAGGGATGCCCACGTAACCACTGTTCCCCCAGAGCTGCTAGTGTCCACCATGGCCCACAGCCATCAGGTCATCCGGGCTCTCAGTGGCCTTGTAGGACAGTGTGGAACCGTCCCACTGAGCCTCCGAGACTGTTGTAGTACAGAAGAGGGCGGCTTTATCTCTCACCTGAGGAGCACTTGTTGGTTCGAACTGTCCACCCTCTCATTAGCAGCCAGCCTCTTCATCCGCTGCCCCAGAGCCACTCGCTACCCTGTAGTTGCCTGTCACTGATGGGTGAGTCAGTCTGGCCCTGACTTTTCATTAAACCGTGACCGTGTGCTCGCCACTGACTTTCTTCTAAAATGTCTACTCTGACTTGTCAAAGAGTTGTTTCAGATGTCTGGGATTCTGTGAGTTATCCCCTTTCTAATCATAAATTCCCTTCCTATCATCAAGTTGGGCACAGTGACTTAGTGGTAAGGAGGTGCACCGCCAACCCAAAGGCACACAGGTCAAGTCCACCAGCTGTTCCCCAGGATAAAGGTGGACAGTCTCCTCTCGTGAAGTTTACAGCCTCTAAAAACCTGCTGGAGGGTCAGCTAAGGTTTGGTCCCGACTCGATGGTACACAACAACAGTCATGGAAAGGAGCCCTGCTGGTGTGGCGGGATAAGCACTGGGCTGCCGGCAGAAAGGTTGGTGGTTTGGATCCACCAGCTGCTGGTGGAGAGAATGGTGACGATGCTTCTGTAGAGGTGACAGCCTTGGAGACGCCAAGGGACAGATCTCCTGTCCCTCAGAGCCGCTGGGAACCAGAGTGGACGCGTCAGTGCTGAGCTTACTGCTGTGGTTAATGACGCTTCACTTCCAATCAGCCTTTTTTCTTAGAAGGAGCCTCCGGACAGCGGGCTCTGTTCACAGAATGTAATGAGTCTCGGAACTTCACCCTGCTTCTTCCTTCTCCCTTTTTTTTGTGATTTGAGCAAACATTTACAAAGAAATTTGGGTTTCCGCTCAACCATTCGCACACAATTTTTTAGAGCATTAATGGCAATACTCACAGTGAAGGGGCCTCCCGCCCACTGCCCTGCCTGTGATTCTCGTTCTCATTCTTCCGTCTTACGCCTTCTTTCCGCCAGCTCTTTACCCCTGGGCAATGCTGCCCCTTCGATTGTGTGTGATTGCTTACTCTACGGAGTGAGTGCCTCCCTGTATCAATAGTCACCTTCACCTTATAGACCTGTCTCTTGTCAAGCCAGGGGGGTGATTGTTTTTATTCCAAAGGGTGACGGAGGCCATAGCCAGTGAGTCCTGTCAGTAAGACTCAAGCCAGTAAATCCAGAAGTCGTTCAGGTAAGTGTTTGGTACACGTTCCCTTGTCTCTGGATACTTAGAGGATCTTACACTGTTTTCTAACCTCCTAAATGTATGGTCTAATTATTTTTTTAAAAATCTGTATGATGCATTAAGAAGCACTGGTAACACAAATGATTCAGCACTCACATGCTGATAACCAAAAGGTTAGCAGTTCAAACCCACTGAGCAGCAACTGACGCGTGAGGACCTGTGAGATCGGCTCCTGTCAGGACGGTGGCTGGGCAACCCTGGAAGGCAGTTCTCCTTGGCCACTCGTGGTCACTCTATTGCCACTGTCTTCCCTGTTATTATACTTTCAAATGACACAGTTCAGCTCCTTGAAGATAAAACCAAGCTGCCTTTCAGCAAGTTGCTTCTAGAACAGAACAGAACACCCCGCAGGGCTTCCTGGGCCTCAGTCTCAGGCTGCTACGTCTCTCTGGGGAGTGGCCGATGGACCAACGACTGACCTTCCATCCAGCAGCCAAGTGTTTCAACCCCTTCACCCTGAGAGCTCCCTTCCTTGGAGATCGGAACTGGATTTTGGGGTGATTTTTTTTTCTATCCATCAAATCAAGTTGGGAAGTCCCATGTATGTAGTGAAAAGCCTATTCCTCTTTTAGATACAACTTGAATTTTCCTGTTATAAATTTGTCTTTAACTTGAAAATATATTTTTCAGTGACAATTAACCTAAAATAATAAAAGAAACAACAGCAGCCTCTTCTTCATATTTTTTTTTTCTCTTCTTCATATTTCCTTTCAAGGAGAGAAGTCTGTCCATTTGGGGATGTACCTTTCTAATAAATCCACCTTTACTGTTTTACTCTTTGAGAGAGAGAGAGAAGGGGAGGGGAGGGGAGAGGAGAGGAGAGAGAGAGGAGAAAGAGGGAATGGGGGAGAGAGAGAGGGGAGGGGAGAGGAGAGAGGAGAGGAGAGAGAGAAGAGAATCCATTTAGAGATGCTTTTAGTTCAGTGCTGTCCACTCAGCTCTAAGGAGTGTGACCGATGGACCTTGCTGGTCCTGCCCCATCTCAGCTGTGCTCAGGTCCCTTGTGCAACCTCTGTGTTATTTCGTCTTGTGGAGGGGCTTCCTTTCTTTGCTGACCCTCTGCTTTTTCAAGCGTGACATCCATCTCCAGGGGCTGATCCCTCCTGACAACTTGCCCGGAATATGTGAGGTGTCTCCACCCTCACCTCCCAGGAGCACTCTGGCTGCCTCGTCTGAGACGATTTGCTTTCTTGTGGCTGTCGTGGCGTGGCCAGTGCTCTTCACCGTGACCATGGTCGAGCAATGTGAGCAGGCCTGTCCCCTGGCGCAGCCCCTGCATTGTCACTGCCAGAGCCAAGCATGCGCTGTCACAGATGGTCACAGTGGGAGGTGGTCAGCCCTCCGGGTCTCCAAGGGTGTTGGACATCACTAAGCCCAAGGGCACAGAGCTCTGGGTATGGCTGCCTTAAGAACTCGGTATTTTGAGGGGCTCTGGAGAACCCCATGCCAGCTCCCTAGCTCATAGCTCACACGGCCTATTGGGCAGAAAGAATCCCAAGCCCACTGCTGCCTGGTCACTTCCCCGTGGTCAGTGGAACAGAACTGCCCGGTCCACGTCCCCGAGCTGTGCTGTTTACAGAAGCTGACTGCCTCATCCTTCTCCCAAGGAGGAGCTGCTGGGTTCAAACCACTAACCTTGCAGTTAGCAGCCCGATGTGCAGTCTACTCTGCCACCAGAGAATAAAAGAAAAAATTGGGCTTTCTTCACAGTTCTCCAGCTCTTAAGACCGCCTTTGGGGTAGCAGCTCAGTTGCCTACACTGCACAACAAAGCTCGCTTTGAGAGGTTTTTTCCAGCCAAATTCTCAACATTGGGTTATCCGAGGATGGTGGCCAACATCCATGGTGGGCAGTAAGGCCCACGCCATCCTGCTCTAGAGTCAGATGGTTGCAACTCCGCTACCATGACTTCCTGGCCCATTTATTGATGGGTGGGTTTTTCTTTCTTCTTAGATTCCCTGCTGTGAAGAAGAAATTTATGGCAGAGCTGAAGGAATTGCGGCGTAAGGAACAGAACCCCTACGTGGTACAAAGTATCATCAGCCTGATAATGGGGATGAAATTCTTTCGGATTAAGATGTATCCAGTGGAAGACTTTGAGGCATCTCTTCAGTTTATGCAGGTGATGTCCTGAGCAGAACAAAGATAGCCAACGTGAACCATGTCCTGGTCTTCAGACCACTCACCTAGATTGTGAGACGTCAGAGTTGTCGGTGCGAGGGAGGGAATCCAACCTTCTCCTCTGTCCTTCACCATGGGCTCCCTAACCAGATAATAGAAATTTATTTTTTTTTCTTAAAGATGTGTCTTCTTTTTTATCTTTTTTTGTTTTGACTTAAGTGAAAGCTGATTCGTTTTCCACTCAGCCATTCACGTGTACTTTACGGCAGCCCCCGCAGAGCGTCATAACCTTCCCACTGCTGCCCAGCGGCTCCTGTCTGCAGTCCTCCTTCCTCTCTGTCTGTCCTCTGTGTTTATTCTCGGAGAAACGCTGCACTTACGTATCATCTTTGAGTGGTGTCAGTGGAATTATTATTTGTTGACTTTTTCCCCTTATTTTTGGGCTATATTTGTTTTAGAAATTTAGCTGATTTTTTGTTTTGTTTTATTCTTTTGAAATCGGTAACATGGGATGGTGATACTATTGAGAACTTTTAACAGGTGAAGCAAGAATGGAAGTTCCTACTATAAAAAGGAATCTTGATTTTTGAAAAACCTACTAACCGGCGTGGATTTAGAGGTTTCTTGCAGTGTTAATCCCTTCGTGCCGCATGATTGTTGGTGACGAGAATTAAGCAGAATGCCCTGCTCTGTGGTCGTGGTGGTGTTGATTACTGTTGAGTCGAGCATGACTCAGACCAACCCTATGAACAAAAGGTCCGAAGCCTTTTATTAACTACCAGCATTTATCAAAGTTCACAGAGTTTCCAGAGTTTATAAAACATTAGGATAAAGGGAGTGCTGGTGGCCTACTGGCAAGAAGCTGTGCTGCAATCCCAAAGGCAGGCTGTTCAAACCTTCCAGATGCCTTGCTGGAGAAGGAGGGGCAATCCTCCTATGGCAGTCCGATCCGATTCGATGGTACACAACAAGTTAAAAAAAGGAAATGAAAAAATGAAATATTAGTATAGAAGAGGATTTTCCTAAAGCTGTTGTTAATTCAGTTTGGTGAGGACTTTAAGTATCAGAACCCTTAGGTGTGGTGTTGGTGTTAGGTATTTTCCAGCCCATTCCAACACTGTTTACAATGGAATACACACTGCCCAGGCCTACCTCACGATGCCCAGACCTGCCCCATGCTGTCCAGGCCTGCTGCATGCTGTCCAGGCCTGCCCAGGCCTTCCCCACTCTCCCCCATTCTGCCCAGGCCACCCCATGCTTCTCAGGCCTGCCCCATGCTATCCAGGCCTGCCCAGGCTGCCACATGCTGTCCAGTCCTGCCCAGGCCTGCCTGATGCTGCCTAGGTCTGCCCCACACTTTCTAGTACTACCCAGGTCTGTCCCACGCTGTCCAGGCCTGCCCAGGCCTACCCCATGCCACCCAGTCCTGCCCAGCCCTGCCCAGGTCTACCCAACACTGTCCAGTCCTGCCCAGGTCTGCCCCACGCTGTCCCGGTCTGTCCCACACTGTCCAGTCCTGCCATCTCTGTTCAAGCCCTTGTTGCAGCTACTGTGAAAATCCACCTCCTTGAGGGGCTTCCTCTCTTTAGAGGTTAGAAATCCTGTCCACTCCCTATGGCTGGAGCAGACCCTCGGAGAGATTGCAAAATGACGTGATGCTGAGGGGACCTCACTCATGACTCCAGCCTCTCTGATGGTTTAAACCCACCAGCTGCTCTGAGGGACGAAGGTGGACAGTGTCCTCCTGTGCCGTTCATAGGAACTGCACAACGGGACCCCAGCGGAGGGTCAGCTAGGCGTCGGTTCTAACTCAAAGCCCTTGAGTGTTTTGAGGGTTACACGATACCACAAGGTCGTGTGAGTGTGTTGGAATGCTAGTGGGAAGGTCATTAGTTCGAATCCACCAACCCCTCCATGGAGAAAGGCCATCTGCTCTCTTACAGACTTGGGGGTTGCTGTGACCCTGAACCCTCTCAGGGATAGTGATGGGGGATCTGGGGGGGAGCTTGGAAAAGCACATTGGAGACTCGGAGGAGGGGCAGGGAGTTGGTGTTAAAGGGGAGGAACAACTCGGAAAAGGGGGGTGAGGACGGGTGAGGTGTAGAACTGGAAGTTCAGCATCCGGCCACCCGGTGTCCACGCAGAAGCCGTGGCCTTGGTGTGTGCTGTGCCGTGTGTGTCCTTCACAGACACTCACCAGTCAGCACCTTGTTACTGCTCTGTCTGGGGGTCGCTGGGAGTTGGAACGGACTTGTTGCCAGCAAACAATGGCATGTCAGTGTGTGTGATCGCTCTTCACCAGCCTGGGTCACTCTGCCCTCCTTCCCCTTACTGTGTTTCTGCTTCCCAGGAATGCGCTCATTACTTCCTGGAGGTCAAAGACAAAGACATCAAGCACGCCTTGGCTGGGCTGTTCGTGGAGATCCTGGTCCCAGTGGCCGCCGTAAGTCACAGCTCTGCTGGTTCCGAATGCCCTCCAGGTGACTGGGCTGTCAGCCGTGGTGCTGTCACTCAGCTCACCTCTCTGTCAGCCGTGTGCTGACGGTCACGAGGATCGCCTCTCTGTTGCAGGCTGTGAAGAACGAAGTGAACGTCCCCTGCCTCAGAAACTTCGTCGACAGCCTCTACGACGCCACTCTGGAGCTCTCTTCACGCAAGAAGCATTCCCTGGTGAGTGGTGACCAGATCCACAAAACAAGCACACAGCAGGCGGGAAGATGCCCCCAGACAGCCGGAAGGGTTGTAAAAGGATTGCTGACAGCTCCCTCCTAAAAATTGGTGGCTGCTGCTGTTGCTGCCATCGTGAGGTGTGGTCCTGACAGCTCTCGCTCGTGGACTTGGTGCTCATAGGCAGCCGGATAACCTGTCCTGGTCCTGCCGTCCTCACAGTCTCCCCATCCCTGCCGTCACTGTGACACCCCACCTCACTGAGAGCTTCCTCTTCTCTTGACCTTGCCCTGCTCCAAGCATGACACCCTTCTCCAGGGACAGCCCTTCCCACAACATGCCCGAGTACTGGGGACCAAACCTGACTGTCCTTGCTCCAAGTAGCCTCTGGTTGCACCAAAACCAAGACATATTTCACAATGTGGAGCTTTAGTTTAGCAAGCCTTCATGGAAGCATCATTCCGTGCAGGAGTTAGAGCCTCTCACCTCAGACGACCCTTCTCGACCCTGGTGTTTATTTACAAGATGGGCTTAACTAGAGTTTTGTTTTAATTTCTGAGATATTTTGCTTTCCTCCTTTAAGCTGGAGACTGAAGTTTATGATAACCGTTGTCCCTCTGAATCCCCAAGGCTCTTCATTGCTTGGTGCTCTCCTGAGGAGTCAAATGGATAGAGGCAGAAAGGGAGTTAGACAGACTTGGCCACAGCTAAGGTTCTCCACGGGCTGGGAAACAATCCCTGGGAAGGCTTTATCTGCTCAAGAGCAGCATGGAGCATTCTATTCAATTGCCACTTCATTCTCTCCTCAGTGACATATAAAGCTTTTGTTTGTGATTTAACCAGTTAAGTCAACTGAATGATAGATAGTAGGAGCATCTGGTAAACCCTCACTCACCATATTGTCAAAGCACTTCCAATCTGTTGTTTCTGAGATTAGCTAGATAGAGACAGAAAGCGAGGGGGGGGGGGAGGGACAGGGAGAGGAGGGAGAGGAGAAAGGAGAGGGGAGGAGAGAGAAGAGATAGATACACACACACACACACACACACAGTGGGAGCGATTCATACTAGTTGCAGAGTATGATGGTCATTGCCATTATCTGAGAAGCTTTCAGAGTGACTTCATAGGAAATTTCTTTTTCTCATATAATCTCTAGCTTGGTGTCCATCTGGGTAACTCCATGCATTTTTTTCTTTTATTTTAAGATTATTGACTAGAACTAGAAATGCTCTCAGTGATCATTATTTATCATTCAATTGACTTAAAACTAACTAAGTACATTGTTATGTATTGAATTGTCTCTTGCAAATTCAAATAGTTGTTGCTGGAAGCTGTGGAGCTGATGTTCAGTTTAACAAAGCACAATGCCCCACGGGGTTTTCTTGATTGCAATCTTTGTGGGAGCAAGTCACCAATTCTTCTTCTCACACAGGTAGGTTTGAACTGCCAGCCTTTTGGTTAGCTGCCCAGTGCCCTGAGGGCACAATGATGAAGGATTCTGCAGCTAATCTGAAGGGAGTTGGTTCGAACCTGCAGCTGTGTGGAAGGAAAGACCTGGTAGTCTGTTCCCATAAAGGTGATGGCTGAGGAAACCCAGGGGTGCAGTTCTGCTCTGCGGCATGGGGTGCCTTTGACTCAGGACCAACTGGACAATACCCAACAACAACTCCAGCTACTGGCTGAGCTAGTGTCATTTTTGTTTAAACCTTCATCACTCAAGTTCCGTGGGAGACTTCAAGATTCATGATATGTGATCCAGCAAAGCAGGGGCCATCCTGTGCCGGTATCATCTCGGGTGGCCTCTCTCTGGCTCCTCGGTCTTCGCCAGTTGCCGCTGGAAACCAGCCCGGGCAGACGGCGGAGCACAGTTGCACCTCTGTTTATTCGCTCATAAGCACATTCCTCCTGTGGTTCCATTTGTCTTGGTGGAGTTCACTATTGCAATAATATTTTCCTTAGGAATATTCCTTAATTACAGGACAGTTGCTAAAGAGAATGCACCTACCTCTAAGACATGGGCGGGCTGCTGGATGTTTATGACCAAAAGAGCAAATGATAGTTTTCAAACTTAGTCTCTCTTCCTGCTTCGAGGGGGGAAGCACAGTTGGAGAGTGATCTAAGAGAGTGGATTTGTTCTTCAGACCCATGACCAACCCCTGACTCTGAGCCCTGGAAGAGGGGGAGTTAAGCCTCAGCTGCTGACTTAAAGGTTGGTTGTTCAAACCTACCCAGGGAGTCGACAGAGAGATGTTTAGTGATCTGTAAGCTGGCAGACTCGCATGCCCTGTGGGACATCTCTACTCTGTCATCCAGGGTGGCTGTGAGTCAGAATCTCCTCAGACACGCACCACAACCATACCTAGAAGGTTCTAGATTATTCCATCACCGTCATCATAACTAACAGGTCTGCACAATGACCAGCTCTGATAGCACCCGCTAGGACTCATTCTGTTGTGAAGTGGCCTGTTCTGTTTTGGTCTGGGGCCAGGCCTCGGAACAGCGGGACATGGTGGCAGAGTGATTCTTGGAAAAAAGTATGTTTCAAAGTCAGTGGCACGCAGGGAAATCCGAGCGCAGTCGATCTTCTGTATGCACGTGGAAAGTCCATTTTTGTTTCCGAAAAAGCAGATGACATGGAGTGGCTGGGTGCAGTGTGGCTTCCACCACCATGGACTCGGTTCCACACCTGGTGACCCTGCGCCCTGTGCCCGAGGATGCCGTCTTCACGGAGCCAGAGCGTGTCATCTTCCTCTCTAGGAGGGGTTTGTGGATGTGAACCCCTGACCTTTAGGTTAGCTGGCCAGTGTGTCATGCACTGTGCTGCTTGCCCGAGGTCGTCATTTTGAAGTCGCTGGCCACTCTGCAGGAGAGAGAAGAGGACTGCTCTTGTGGAGATTCATGGCCCCTGGACCTCCGTGAAGTCTCCCCAGCTGTGTCATCAGCTGGACAGCAGAGGAACAAAGACCAAGGAGGGGAGGGAGTGACCACTGAGTGATCGCACCAGGGCTGACTGCACCCAACCCTCAAAGGGTGGGCAGCCTTCTCCTTGGGGGCACACTAGAGCCCCCTTGCCCTTTAGGGAGCTCTGGTAGCCTAGAGGTAAAGCATTGCACGCCGTCCCAAAGGCACACGGGTTGAATCCACCCACTGCTCCATGGGAGAAAAACGGGCAGGTCCCTCCTGAGTGATTTACTACCTCTGAAAGCCTGCTGGACGGCCAGCGAGGAGCTGACCAGCGGCACGTCACTGCAGCATCGCGCTGAGATCCACTCAAACCCGTTGACGCTAACCTGGCTGCTGATAGTTCAGTCTTCAGCCCATTGTAGGCACGAGGTTTTGATATTTAAATTAAGAGAGGCTAGAGTCTTTCCAAGGAGCGCTGGTGGGCTACCAGGTTAAGCATTTGATTGCCGAATGAGAGGCCGGGAGGTTTAATCCACCAGCCACTTCACAGTTGACTTTCCTGAATATTACTCTCCTGGAAACCTACCGGACAGTTTCGCTCAGTCCTCCAGAGCCACAGGGAGTCAAATCCAAATCCACAACACTAGTCGAGTCCCGTTATATCGGGAAGTAGTGGGCGTAGTGGGCTGACAGCTCTTTTCTAAAACAAATGGAGATTGTTGTAAAATAGGCTCCTGCAGAATTGTCGTCGGGCTTTTTATGGCAACTGTGATGAGCCTTAAAACCACAATGCGATGCCTGCGAGTAACCTTCGTCCCCACTATGTGTTACCAGGTGACCATCTCCTCTCTCCGTAGGCCCTGTACCCGCTGGTGACCTGCCTGCTCTGTGTCAGTCAGAAACAGCTGTTTCTCAACAGGTGGCACGTGTTCCTCAACAACTGCTTGTCCAACCTTAAGGTGAGTCCCTCCTCCCTCCAAGGAATATCTGAGGAAACACACCCGGTCCTCACGCAGTGACCAGCACCCGGTCCTCACCTAGTGACCAGTACACGGTCCTCACGCAATGACCAGCACACAGTCCTCACCTAGTGACCAGTACACGGTCCTCACCTAGTGACCTGACACCCGGTCCTCACGTAGTGACCAGCACACAGTCCTCTCCTAATGACCAGCACACGGTCCTCATGCAGTGACCAGCACACAGTCCTCACCTAGTGACCAGCACATGGTCCTCATATAGTGACCAGCACACGGTCCTCTCCTAGTGACCAGCACACACGGTCCTCACGTAGTGACCAGCACACACGGTCCTCATATAGTGACCAGCACACGGTCTTCACGTAGTGACCAGCACATGGTCCTCATATAGTGACCAGCACACGGTCCTCTCCTAGTGACCAGCACACATGGTCCTCACATAGTGACCAGCACACACGATCCTCACGTAGTGACCAGCACATGGTCCTCACATAGTGACCAGCACACGGTCCTCTCCTAGTGACCAGCACACATGGTCCTCACATAGTGACCAGCACACACGATCCTCACGTAGTGACCAGCACACGGTCCTCACCTAGTGACCAGCACACGGTCCTCACCTAGTGACCAGCACACGGTCCTCACGTAGTGACCAGCACACCTGGTCCTCAGTCACTCACTTAGGCTCCGTTCTGGGGAACAAAAACAACCTAGAATCAGACATGTTCAGTGGATTCCATTTTAAGGGGACATTAGCAGGATACGGGGGGGCTCTAGAGGTATAATGCAGGACATGCTGGGCTGCTGAGAGGTCAGCAGGTGGAACCAGCAGGAGGGAGCCTGCCTGAGCCTGTGTTAGACCCACGATCACTGCTGTGCAGCGTTTGAACCCCTGGTGCAGCTTCTCTCTCAGCCCCTCCTATTGAGTCTCTTCCTCTCCATCAACCTTCACCTTTAGCACGTGTGAGGGTCTGACCCCTTCTCATCACATGTCCAGAGTATGTGAGGCCAAGCCCGTCGTCGTCACTTCTGACGAGCAGCTCGGTGTCTTCCTCGAAGACAAATGTGCTTGTGCTTCTGTCAAGTCATCGTACAGTTTCTCAACCAACATTGTAGTTCAAATGCATCTTCAGTCTTCTGTTTTCATTGTCCAGTTTTTACACGCATGAGACAGATGAGCGTCCCACAGCATGGGCCAGGGATATGTGAGTCCTCCAAGTGACATGCTTGGTTATAAAACCCTGAAAGCGTCCTTGGTGGAGCAGTGGTTATGCACTCAGCTCCTCATAGAAAGGTCAGTGGTTCAGACCCACAAGACACCAGTCCTGGGAACAGTATGGGACAATTCTCTTCTATCCTGTAGAAATGAGTTGGAATTGACTCAAGGGTAATGAGGCTGACTCTTGGATCTTTATAAATTCCTTTATGTGCTTATACATGTTAGTTTGTTTTGTTTTCTAAGACACTTTAGTTCTGATGAAATAATTAAGATTAATTATATTATTTGGGCATTTGCAGTCATTACACAATACTCTTCAGTAAAGCTGTCTTAAGCACCAACTATGTGCTGTTCTAAGAGCTGCTTGTGAAATCCAAGATTAGAATCACTCAAACTGGCAGCGAAATATAGTAGAATAGACAGAGAACTAAGCTTTTGCGTTTTCTGGGGGAGGAGAAGGCCGTGCTTTTCAAGATCCCCAACTGTAACTATGGTCATCCTTGGATGTATCACATGTGGGTTTATCCATCTGCTTCATGACCCTCAAGTCCAGCTCAAGACCTTTCTGTTACTTAGTTCATTTTTATTAATAGTTCACTTTGAAGTGAATAATTTATTAGCTTGTTATGGATCTGTAGATACACCAAAACAACTGCCACCAGTTCAATTCCGAGTCTTACCAACCCTGCTGGGCAGAGCGCAGTGGCCCCTGCAGGGCTTCCAAGCTGTTATCATCATGGGCACAGACTGCCTCTTCCTTCTGCCAAGAAGCAGCAGGTAGGCCTGAACTGGTGGCCTGGTTAGTTCTGGCTAGTGGTCCACAGCCTAAAGCGTAATGCATTGCACCGCTAGGACACCTAGAAAAGGCCTTTTGTTTCCAAGGAAAAAGGAACGTGGTCAAGCACGTTCCCGGTGCCCCTTCTCTCATCCAGTGATGCTAACGATATTTGTGGTGACTGTTTGGGTAGAAGTGCAGTAATTTATGTGACAATTGATTCCTTTGGCCAAAAAGAGACTTTTTTCCCCTTTTACCCAAAGTTGTTTTTGAAACACAGCAGCATAAACTTCCTTTGGAATGTGATGGTTGTGAGGCCGGATTGGGGTCTGGAGAGGCAGTCAAAGCATACCAGAAAGGCGTGCAGGACGTCAGAAGTCTTTAGCATGGGACCTAGAAACTGCATGTCTCCCTGTGCAAACAGATGTCAAGCGTTCAGATTTTTTCCTTTACCCTGTAAAAAAACATGCTTATCAAGCACCTCTAAGCGAGAGACACTGATCTAGGTAACAGGAATGAAGAAGCAGAAACAAACAGGCAGAACCCAGGGGTCAGTCTCTAGAAGCTTCCGTTCTGTATAGATTGCATGGCTGCATGACAAGTGGGCCCCTGTCCAGGGGCCAAACACCTCACCCATCCGCTCCAACCCACGTGGGGGCGTAGCTGGCTAGGTGTTGGGCTGCAGTGGTGTAAACCCCCCAGGGGCTGCATGGGAGGAAGATGAGAGCGTCTCGTCCCACTGGGGTTACTGCCTCAGAAACCCTGCAGGCTCTCCAGGAGCCAGAATTAACTGGTAGCAGCAGGTTTGGGGTTGACCCTCGTGGGTCCACAATCTGGACTGGACTCAGCCGGGCTATGCTTGCCTCGCTGGGGACAGCTTTGCAACCACACTTACTCAGAGCCTCAGTAGGATTTTAAAGGAGGGAAGCAATTATAACATGACACGTACACAGAGGGAGGGATGTGGGGAGACTGAACGTTGCACTCCAGAAATAGTCTGAGTCACTAAATATTTCTTAGTACCCGTTGTGTGAGAGGCACTCTAGTGGTGTAGCCAGGAAAGTGCTGGTCTGTGGAAATGTCCAGTATCAACAACCAAAACCAATACAAGGGCAGCTGTGGGATAGACTCTAAATGACTCACCTGCAATTTCAAGCTGAAATTGAAGGACATGAAAACAAGTACATGCACAAGAGCCGAAAACTGACCTTGAGTTTATCCCGTCTGAATTGAAAAACTCCAGTAATGACCAGAGTCTAGGTGAGTTGTAGGCATGACGTCATCCTTGGAGAAAAGTGGCAGTTCACTAAAAGGACAGGAAAGAGAAAAGGACCCAGTGGCAATTAGAAGGGTCTCTGAAAGGAGCTCTACACGTGGAAAAGCTAATGCAAACAGAACTGGGGAGGGGCAATGACCAGAATGTTTCAGGAGGTAGATGAAGACAACAAAGCAAAGTATTACAACAAAGTATGGCAGGATCTGGAGCTAGAAGGCCAAAGGGATGAATGTTCTTGGTATTCCCCAAGCAGGAAGAGCAGAAGAAACAGTTCGAGCCTCGAGTTGCAGTGCTGAAGGATTCTATGCGCAGACTAGTGAATCATGTGAAACACATCAAAAGAAGAAGGAGAGTGTACCCTGAGTCGCGGCCCGAGAAGCACATGCTCAGGAACCAGTGTTGCTGACAGAAGACGTCCAAGCTGCACTGAAGACACTGGGGGAAATTCTGCTGCTTTGAGCTGTCCAGTCAGAACCAGCTCGTGGTTCTTCAGAGGCTGTCACCTGCCCCATCGGGGACTTTCTTCCACAGAATAGTGTATGGATTCAAACCAGGTGCCTTTTGGGTTGTCAGCACAACTACTTACCTTTAAGCCACCCAAGATCTCTTGGCAAAAAAAAATAAGATGTCAAGAACTAATAGAATATCAGTTGAGCTGTTTCAGAAAACAGATGCAACCCAAGACATGCTCACTGGTCTAAGCCAAGAAATCGGAAAGACAGTTACTTGATCAACTGCCCTGAAGACAGTCACATTTGTTTTTATGCCCCAAAAAAAAGGTGCTCCATCAGAGTGCAGAAATTACCACATAACGTGCACATGCAAGTAAAATCGTGCTGCAGATTCTTAAAAGTGACTGGAGCAGTGCACCAGCAGAAACTGCCTTACCTCAGGCCGGATTCAGAAGAGGACAATGGCCAGCATTACTACTATCAGACCGGTCCTGAGTGAAAGCAGGGAACGCCAGGAAGTGGCTCATTTTTATTTTATTGCCTATGGATGGGCCCTAGATTGCACGGCTCATAATAAATTATGGATAATACAGAAAAGTGGGGATTCCAGAACACTTCATTTTGCTCAGGTGGCAACACTACATTTCTTGCTTAAAATGAAGACCTGAAGCACTTACTGCATAAAGAATAAAGACTACAGCCTTCAATACGAGTGACATCTCACTATCAAAAAACCAAAAATCCTCACCCCTGGACCAATAGGCCACGTCATGATAGATGGAGAAAAGATTGAAGTGGACAGTGATTTCATTTTATGTGGGTCCACAATCAATGCTCATGGCAGCTGCAGTCCAGAACTTTGTGTTGTGACAGGGACACCGCCGGTGGGTGTGTCTCAGGTGCTGCTGTGACAGGGACACCGCCGGTGGGTGTGTCTCAGGTCTCTAGAGCTGCTGTGACAGGGACACCACAGGTGGGTGTGTCTCAGGTGCTGCTGTGACAGGGACACCACAGGTGGGTGTGTCTCAGGTCTCTGGTGCTGCTGT